CCTGCAGGCATCCAGATCGCTGTTCATGCATGTTTCTGATAGTCCTGCATGCATTGACCGCTCTTCGCTGGTGTACGGATATGTGGCTGTGGGCCAACTACAAAAATTTCTTTGCAGAGGCTGCGTGTTCGAGTCTGTGAGATATACACTATAAATACCATCTTTCACTCTGCCAAACACAAATCTTTGACTACTTTTCATCCTTCATTTCTACCATAAAGGGAAAAAATTTTACTCAACCTTAAAGGTCAAATGAGCAATTCTCAAAGTTTTCCATCTCCATCTTGGAACAAGACTAAACGGCCTTGTGTTGAAGCTGGTAGCAGGCATACACATCGGAATAATGTAGCTTTAGGCATGTTCACCAGCGATTGCATGAATAGGCGCAAAGGTGCAGTGGGACGCGCGAGCAGTCCAATTTTTGATGGAATTTAGAGTTGAAAGATCGAGAAAACTATAACAGCTCATCGTCGGAATAAGGTCACTTTTTTGGAATTTTAAGGAAACAAACATTTCTTTAGTACATCTTCGGCGGCATGAAAATAAAGGTACATACATTATGTTTCTGTCTTGTCAAATATGCATTTTAGAACTCATGGTCACTTCTATAAAAACTGGAAAAATTGAAAGCCGGCAGGCTACGTACATGTAGATTGATAATCTTTTCCAATAAATGGTGTGCTTCCATGAAGTCAAAATTTCCAGTTTATAAATCTGTAATGATAATGAATCTTTTTATTTTTCCAATGTAATAAAAAGGGATAATTCTTAATGACACAAGTGTTTAGGAAACAACTTACAAGTGCATTGTGCATGTAATCTCGGGTATGCTTAACAAGGCATTCGCACATGTAAAAATTGGAATCGATCGTGAGTGGAATCACGATTCCTAGAAGGAAAAAATTCCCAAAATGCTGGAACTGCCCAACACTACTGTACATTATCTCTTTTGTCTTGAATATTGGATAGTACATGTATTTACACATTCCCCATCAAACTTCTCCATTTTCAGATTTCTGTATTAAGTTTTCTATTAGTTAATCTAATTTTATTTGAATTTTGTTCCCAAACATTTTATCATGAAGATGTGATCTAATTAGTTTCCAATTTCCAGGCCCTTATTGGGAGGATTCCAAGTTTATATGAAATGGCTTAGTGATGAAATTTAATGTTTAGTCATAGTTCACTTGATAATACTGTTAAATAATACTATAACCACAGCAGAGGATATAGTATTCAAATCAAAGATGGACTGTAACAATGTGACAGATTGGAGAAGGTAAAAGGGGCAACTTACCATGAATGAATAAAAGCACATTTCTGCTTTCAGTGGTAGATGGTAATGCAGCATCGCTGAAGTAGCATGATCTGTTATCTGTTCAAACACAAAATATTTTTTGAGTTCAGTTCAGCTTAAGAGGATCACTCACAGAAACTGGAACAAAAACACATGCCTCATTCAATAAATACAAACTTATTAATACCAAACTACTTTTATTTTCTGTAAAGGGATATACATCAATTTTATGATCATTGGAATGATGTTGTCACATTATATTGTGAATAGCTCTCTCTTCTTTTTATTATTCTGTTCAACGTATTTCATGAACACAGTAAGGTACATGTATTTTCAAAACTTTTGTGAAATGAATGGCCACTTACAGACCAAAAGGACAAGAATGCTCCTTTTGCTCTTCTGACTAATAGAAAAGCAAACAGGTTGACAGGATTTTCAATCTGCTTAAAGCACACGCCCAATTATAGATAAAAATATCTGCTTTCTAAAACAAAAGGCAGAAAAGTAGAAAAAAATTGTCTAGAATGTTTCATCAGATTCGGGGCAAATGCAGTGGCAAGCAGAAGAACAGATGTCTGTTTCTGAACCATTAGTAGAAAGTAACGAGTACACATAATACAAGCTTTGCTGGTAGCAATGAAGCCAAAAATTAAAAAAACATTTAAGCAACATGTTCAATCTGTTTTTCTAGTAACAAAAATCAGACTTTCAATTTATGATGCAAGTAAGGTGTAAGTATACTACTTGAGCGAGTCAAATTCAAGTCCAAACCTCGTAAGTTGACACCTGGCTCTGTTGCTTATTACAGCGGGACAAAATAATGTACGTAATGACTTGTACTTGAAAGAAAAAAATTTTGACTTGCTGTTGTTTCGACCAAATGACTTGTGACTTGGCTTTGACTTGAAAGAACGACTTTGCTTCTAACTCTGGGAATGGGGTTGAACAATCCCCTCAGTCCCAAATCCTCCAATTTTAATATGATTTTACACACACCCTAGGGAGTTAGGGTTAAACCTACTGTCCAAGATGTCAAGACACAATTGAATAAGAGATGCTGCAATGATGTCATTCCACCAAAAAAATTAAACAAATTGTGCATCTGGAACTTGGAAAATTTTCCATAAAATGTCTATTCTTAGGTGGCAATACCACATTTTGAGGCCAAACTTATACTCCATTTTTGAAGCATTTTGCATATGGTCTGCTAATTCACTGACAATTGGGGCTGCATACACATGTTAGTAATTATGAGAAAATGGGCAAACTGACTGGTACTTAAAGTGAGAGAGACACTGTTGTATGCCTGTCATTCCAGCGTGTGTGTTTGTATAAATCTCCTCTGGTGACTCACTGCAGATTGTCAGCAAAGTTAAACCTGATCCAACTGTGCAAACTGATTATAAGCTGAGGAACCGTAAGCAAATTTCAATCTCTAACTGAGATGAAGGGGAACCTCTTCAATCAACCTGACATCTACGATAGTGACTATTCAGGTCTTGAGGAAGGGTAAAAGAAATTTCTAAAAACTACTGCCCCTAATTTTTTTCAACAAATCTCCTGCACAAATCAAGGATTTTCCAAATTCTTTGGAACAGTGATATCTTGATGATATCATCTGAGATCACGTAACATGCCTTCAAAGTTGAATTCTTTGCAGGCCAATATCTCCAGAATAATAACTCTGACTGGGATGAAACTTGCAGTGGACTTAACCCAGGACATGTAATGTCATGATGGAGTCATCACATGATTGTTTAGGAGTTTTCAGGTACTCCTTGTCTTAACATTCTTCTATATATATATCCTGAACAAAAACGGTTTTCAAAATTCTTTCTGCAAGAACTTGAATGGGCCAGGTACACGTGGGATGTTTTGAGAATTCCATGTCACGATGACAGTCTTATCTCCAAAGTTACACCAAGGAAAGACCTTATTGAATATATGGTTCTCGAAGTCACGCGACATGCCCTAAAAGTCGAATCTTTGCAGGCTTATATTTCCAGAACGATATGTCCAGTCGGTCGATAATTGGCACAGACACAAACCAAGATGGTTGTACATGAATATTGGAACAATGACATGATGACAAAATCATACTTTTCATGATTTTACAAAATCTCCTTATTTTAACATTCTTTTGGGCAACGGTATCGTTTGGACGTCATAATGACATCAGATATGGCAATCACATGAATATACTAGTTGAGCTCTGATTGTCATGAAAAGAATAAGTATGTACTCAAAATGACATGTAAAATAATGTCAAAATGATGTCATCACATGATTTATGATTTATGATGATTTACAATGATTTTGCATAAATAAAAAACCCATTGACAAAGTATAAAGTTTTGTGGGGACGACTTTGCTCACTTTGCAATCTTTCATCTTCATGAAAATGAAATCAAGGAGAGTTTGTTTTAGAATAGGAAGCGACTTAATACTAGCCCGTGAAACCTGGTACGCTACTTTTTTTCAGCAGCTGGGGTGACCAATGATTTATGAAGAGGGGACAATGCACTACACCATTTAAGACATTTTAAAAATGGAATCCATTGCGTCGCTTCGATAGCTTAGTTGGTAGTGATTGGAATTACAGATCCATAGTCCCTGGTTCGAATTCGACCCATTTGTGCTATTCATTTTCCAATTTTATCTTTGTGTTTGGGATTTCCTTTTTCAATTGATGCAGAAACAGAGTCCAAGCATGAACCCTCTTAGAGTCTTGAGAAAAATAGCAGACCAGGTTTCACGGGTTAGTATCTAGTCACTTCCTTTAGAATAGGCAAGTAAGGATGGTGTCATCATACAGTAGGGTCTTGTTATATTGCTGAATCAGTTGAATTCTTTGCACTCTCGAAAACCATGTTTAACTTTGAACATAACTTGATATGGACTCAAAGAGGGAAGTGTTATAGGTGAAAATTGGATTAATGTCATCATACATATGCCTGCCAATAATGAAAAGTCAAAAATCAGACCACCCACTTTACGAGCCCAAAGCAAAACTAGCAGCCGTGTGAGAGAAGCTATTTACATGTACATAAACACATGTGTATGTGTAAGAACTTCCATTTTGACATTACAAATAGGGTCCTCTTTATTCTGTAAATGGCATTCTCTTTTTTTCCTGCAAATATTCCCCTGCTTTGATGAGTCTTCCCTTCCGTCTTTTTAATTGAAAGCAGAATGGTTGGCAGGTGTGCGTCATCATGGTCACGTGACATCATGTGATCATGACATCTTTAGGTGTCATGCACCTTTAGGTCTTTAAAGGTGCATCTTCTAAGGTTCTATAGCTACATAGTTTTGCATCCTGATGGGTTCAATTATTAACTAGAGAACAGTGAGAGCAATGTTCAATCTTTGTACATGTACAGGTATGGTAGGTAGACTGGGATTACTTAAAGAATCGCAAGGCACTAGTCTGTGTGCCTTACGGTTCAGCAAGTAGACCGGGATGTGCTAAAGGTGAAATTGATGACTTCCTTATGACATCATCCGTGAATTTTTGGAGATTTATACATATTTCTGCAAATCTCATAGATTTTACTACCAAAGCACAACATGTATTCAGTTCTACACATGAATTTCAGCCTTTTTCAAGCCTGATTCCCTTCAAACCTTAAGACTGCGATTTGAAGAATTGCCCCCACATTTGAAATTAATAAAAGCCAATATTGTGAAGAATATCCATTCTCTTAATGACCATTCTCATGAAAAACACAACATATTTTCAAATTTTCTGTTGCAAGACCTTTGGTAATCCACATAAATGTGTAGGTTGTTTCAAAAATTGTGACATCATGATGACATCATTAAACATGCATTTTTAGAATCATCCAGGCGGTAAATACATGTATGTCGAATGGATCAAATGATGGAGTTTGAATCTTTGTCAGAAAGCAATCGAAAGGGCTTGCAGGTCATATCACTGCCTAATCTGGAAGTAGCCACGACCAAGAGGTAGGCTAGTTTAGTGCTGGCACGTATTAAGGAAATGTCGCTGAGGGGTTCAAAGAGGAAACCACCAAGTATGTGGAGGACTTTGCTCAGGTCCCAGGACTTGACTAGCTGCTTGGTATGGGGGCATTTGATGAACATACCATGCAGGAGATGACAAGACATGTTGTCAGAGACAGAGGAGCCATCTTTGAAGCCATGGTGTATGGCAGCCAAAGCTGATCTGTGGTTGCGAATGGTCAGAACCATGGCCAGAATGAAGCGATTAGCAATATCCGGCATATTGCCCTATATCTTGTTGACAACCAGAGGGATCAGTGAGATAAGTTGGGAGGTGTATGCTAGCAGGTTAGTCTAGTTGATCTGTACAGCATCTCTGGCCTACACACGTGGATGCTGTACTTGGGTGCAACAAACGAGGAGTTGGGCATTGTACAATGATGTTGAGAGATTGACGTAGGGTCACTTATTGCCAGGAAGAGTGCTCTGACTATGCTAGGGTGCAGAGGCCACTCAGTTGGGCAGGGTGTACCATGGGAGAGTGTGTGTCTACAACCATTTTGTTGGCCCTGTAATGAGGGCTGTTTACATGTGGATCATGTGGTCTTTCATCCATTGTAGGATTCCCATGTTAGGACGCATAAACGGGGAGGGTGGAGCGTATGGCCAATATGGTTGAAATAGGCTACTGCCACTGAATTGTCCAAGTGAACTAGAACGTTTTTCCATTCAATGTGCATGAGGAAATGATAAAGGATGTTGAAAATCACTTTCAGTTTCAGTTAGGCGAAGCTAATTAAGGTCTATACATACAAGAAATAAAACAAGCAGAATAAATTAGACAAACGAACTCAACTTTATTTTGAATCAAGAAATATATACAAGAAAAAAAACAACGCCACCTATAGGCGAAGTCTGGAAAGGAGATACGAAAACTAGGTCAAAACAAAAATTAGTCTGCCAACCTGTGCAAGACTGAAAGGGAACTGGCAAAAATATATATAAATATGGGGAAAAGAAGACGTCTTACCGTTCAAACGAACGTGAATGAACAAACAACAAGGTGATCAAGAAATGACACCGAAACCACAAGTAGCGAAAGAAAAACTCTTGAATTTTTTGGAGCCAGACTTAAACGCGTCCGATAGTAATGGTGCTAAGAAAAAGAGGAAGAACATGGCAGCCACCTTCGCAGGAGTCAAGTGAGTGAGGGCGCTCTGCTGGTGATCGAGAATGTAGCCAATGGAAGTAATGGACTCGGAAATAATGCATATGTATTGGTAATCTGCATAGGTTTCAGGCAGTAGACTTTCTATTTTGGAATGGTTGATGGGGAATTTAGCCACACAGGCCTGTGAGTGGCTAAATCTAGTGCAGAACACCGGTAGTTGAGCATTCTCTGTTGAGGGGCAATGTTTGGCTTATCGATTTCAGCGAAGATCTGTTCTGCATTGCTGTGGTGCAGTGTCCACTCTGTTGGTTGTACTTTACCCCGAGAAAGGGCAGAGTTTTAGATGCGCTTACTGTAACATGTGGACGAATGATCAGTTTATGCATGGTCCATGGCCATTTACGTTACGTTGGCACATGTTCAATAAGTGCACGTGATCCAGTCCATACATGAAGCTCCACGGCATGGTCGATTCCATTTATATTATGGGTAAAGTTACATGTACTTGCAATGGCGAATCAGTTGTTATTCTGATTGGAGTATTTTTATACATACACATAGAGTGGAAAATAGTGCAGGAGGAAGCAGTGCTGAGTTGTATCATGGTTGTACATACATGTTGCAGATTTATTCCAACCATGACTTGTCTACAAAGAGGCAAAAATAAAATTAAAAATACCCACTGTGGATAATCTTAAAGTCTACTAAAGACCAAAAGCCACTCTGTTGTGCCATTCGTGAGTGGTACCGCAGTGATGCGGCAGCGACAGATTTTTAATGAGTTTTTTAAACTTTATGTTTTTCTTTCTATCTTTGGGAACCGGTTCTAACTCAGAATAGTTGTTCTTAGCTGGAACTGTGTGGAACCGCCCAACACTACTCGCCACCCACCACCGGAAGTGGGGACAGATGAAGTCCATTATGGGAATTGGTAGATCGATCGGGTCCTGCTTCTGTCTACAGAACGCTCAAAGACAAAGTTGTAGCTGCCACATGTATAGTTGAAAATGGGGAATCAGGTCCATCACGCTGGCCATAAGTCTGAGGAGGTGTAGTCCCAGCTCGGGTGGGGGGTGACTGTCCTCCAGAGAAGACATTCATGCATTCTAAAAGGTTGTCAATGCATTCGCTTGTTGGTGAGATTATGCCCTGTCGGAGGTCAAGGACCGCCCCTACGTATGTTGAGTGTGAGTAGGGTTGGGCCTCCATTTTTCGTGATTAATGAGAAACCCCAAGCGATTTGTAAGGTTGCAGGTGAGGCAAGTAGAAGTGGCCGTCTCATCACAAGTTCTGCTGACAATCTTCGGCGTGAGGAAGAATGTGGAGATGAAGCCCTCATTCTAAAGTGACATGGGGACAAGGCAGATGGTTTGCTTCTGAAGGAGAGCATCTGTCTCGGATTCCAGTGCCTTTTGTTTGTTTCTCTGGGTAGGGATTGCAGTCAGACGAACGTGCGGGGCAGATGGAGGGGTGCTGGTTGAATCGAGGGAGACAATCGCAAGGACCCAACTGTCTGATGTGATGTCTCTCCAGAACCTTACGAAAGATTGTAGGCTGCCCCCGACAGGTTCAGGATCGGGGGCCGCAAGAGAATCTGTTTAGTCATTGGTACTGGCCCCTGAATGAGTCGCTCTTCCCTTGTGGCTCTTCTCTGATGACCTTGCCATTTGAGAAGAAGAGGGATGTCCTAACCCGACTGCTGAATGGGTGGACGAAAAGGCCAAAAGGTGCCAGCCGTTGAGTTGGTGGATGACACTGGGTGAGCCGAAGCGTTGGTGGAGTGGTTGGGCTGTGGTTTGTGTGCAGTTGAAGAAGTATAATGAACCATCGGGGTATCTGCCTTGGAGTCATTCTTTCTGTTAAGCCCCAGATGACAGCTGGAGGACAGAGTGACGTACAGCGTGCAGAAACCTCTGCGGCAAAGCAGGCTGGTGGGTTCTGCTGCCCATGTTGCTGTCTGCATCATACCCATGTGGCCCGGCACAGATGACAGTGGGGGAGCAGCCCGGGAGGGTGTAGTGTCTAATTCAAGCCCGGATGCCCCCGTTGAAAGAGTGTCTGAAGGCAGTGACTTGTGGCATGTGGCAGTCAGTGTGGCTGGCGTGGGGCCATCCTTCCGCAAGCTTTTGTGAGCCATGCTGGTAGAGTGGTGTATACTTTGGTTGGCATTAGTGGAATGTGTACCACCACAATAGCGGTAGATGTCGTAACCCCGGTAGTTGCACTAGGGAAGCTGAGTGTTTAGATTGCACGCAATGCAGCCCAGTCCTCTGTGTGTGGCCGCTGGCTAGCCCCAAATCTAACCAGGACTCATGCTGGTAGAGCGGACCGTTCGTGTGGTAATCACGAGTCTCGGCTTCAAAAGTTAATACCTCAATCTTACCACTGACCAACTCCTGCCGGTCTATGGGGAAAGTTGGGACAGCTGAACGTGTTTAGCTAGGTGGCATGAGCTACGTAGAATCAACGACAACAACCTACGAGCATGCATATACAAAGAGAGAGAAAAATACCACACACAGACAAAAATAACACACACATTTAGGAATATTACATAAACAGTCAGAAACTACAGTTTATTACTTAAATCAAGATACCACAGAAATGTGAAACAAAAATTGAAACTTGAAGATCCCAAAGTTGACACGTCTGTAAGCAACGGCACTAAGAGAAAGCAACATGAACATGGCAGCCACTCCACTGTGCATTTTGGGACTAGAGGGCGCACTACAGTTGATCAAGTTTTTAGCAAATAAAGTAAGGCGCAAAGGAAGTTTGCATATTTAGCGACTGTTTCAGGTAGGATAAAAGCAGTGGACCATAAAGTTGGGTAAGAAAAATCACTTGTAAAACATTTAACACCTAATTGTTACAACTAGTTGTGCAAGTGACTCCAACAAGTCAGCATAAATTGTTTTGTTGGTGCTATATGCACATCAAAAGCTCACCACGGTATCTTGCCCATTTTGAAAGGTAGATTTTCAGTCATAATGGCACTAACCTTTTGAAACACTTTATATCTGGATAGGGTCCATATATCAACCTGAAACCAAACAAACAGGGTAAAATCAGTGTAATGCCATGCTATTGATTCTTAACCATACATGTACCAGTACATGAAATAATACAAACCAGTTTTTATCCAAACTTTCAGCCCAATCAGATAAAGTATTTTGTAATTACTTTTATTTTTCTCAGCATCAGTTCAGCATTGCCATCTGACCAAATAAAAACAAAGTCATTTTATTATCTGTGACAGTTTTTTAGTCAACACTACAATTTTATTGTCAAGTTTGCAGAATGTGAAATTATTATGTCACTCAAATGCCACCTTACATAAAGTGACAGAACTCCACTGAACTGTTTCGCATTGTTAAACAAGTCAGAACAGTTATTGTGGGTCATTCTATTACTGAAGGATGAAAAGTGGGACACAAAGGCCACAATTTGAAAATTGTTTTTCTGCCCAGTAGCAAGCTGATTTACATTCCAAAAACCATGATGTTTAACAAAAATGAGAAATGTATGTCACTGCTTTATTTTGTACACGAAGCAGAGGCGAAAACATGAGGCACAGACTCCGGCCAGGAGGACTTCAATTTCAAACTGTAACAAATCCAAGGGACAAAATGGCACGTGTAATAAAGCACAATGGCGAATGACAATGGTCTAATTCCTGGTAGATGGTGTTGTTTTGAAATTATGAAGTATGTGGGAAAATTTTGAAACAATTTTGTTGATTGCAAATGGCAGAATTTATATTGTGATTTCTTATGTAACAACCTGGAACATGAAAAGTTACAGTGTGATACTTGATATTGCTTTGTGGCTTGATAGAAACATTATGACAGAAACTCGTACCATCTTCGTAACTCGAGATTAATACTGCATGAAAAACACCTCAAATTTCTGAATCATGCAAGCTTAAAATCTTTGGGCTGTATTTTTGTCCCACTTTTTTTCAAAAAATAATAGGTTTATAACCATAGTTATGTTTAGCCATTTGGGCAAAAATGGCAACATCAGGCTAGTATACTCCCCAGGGAGCTGAGATGGTTTAAGGAATGTGAGCCCGATGTGCAGGGGTTAATGATAATCTGTGCCTTTGAATGGTACTTTCAAGATACTGTGCATATTATAAATGCTCTGATATTATTATTAGTATATGCTTTTGTCTTGTATGAAAAAAAGTAAGAAAAAACATACACAACTGTTTTTTCTAAACATAGTTAACCATGTGTGATAAACTTACATTAAAAACTTAACTCTGTGGCCTTGCTGTTAACTAACAACCCCTTTGAAATGTACCATTTTACATGTTTCCCATTGCACCCCTCAAAAAAATGACCCATGTGCATACATTCACTCAGATGGTTTATAATGTGAGAAAAAGTATTGAAATATCCATGTTAGTTTAATCAGGAACAGAGGACTTCGTTTCTTAAAACATAGAAATACAGGTGAATGAAGTTCAGGCAACCTACCATTCTGTCATCCAAATAGATGTTCTCATGCTGCCCTCGGACAACTACTCTCTCAATCAAAAGTCTTCTTAATCCTACGATAGCATAAAATGTTCGTCCAAGTGTAACCTGAAAGAAAATAAACAAGTAAAAGTTATTCGAAACAAAAACCACTTGGGGGTTGCCAGGGTGACTATTAAGCTCAGGGTTATAGGTAAGCAGAAACTTTAAAAACACTTCTTCTGCTCTTTGTGGTTGCAATAGATGTGGTGTCACCTGAGGCGAGAGGAGGGCTACCCTTGGAGGTGCTGTAAAATGTAAAACATAAAATACAAAATATACCACACACGCACAAGCCATATTCCCAAAAGCAACACATAGAAAACAGGGAAAGGGGAGGATGGAAGGTTGAGAGGGACGGGGGACAAGGGGAAAGATAACAGGGAGGATGAGTAGGAGGCCCAAGAGGCAAGATACATGAAGGCTATGGGTAAGAAAGGAGAATAAGGGTAAATGAGACAGGCTAAGGCATCAATGAAGGACCAAGCTTAAATACTGATATATTAACACTCCATTAAATAAGAATTAAAAAAGCATTTAAAAAACATTAAATAAAATAACATAACTAAAATTGTAAACACTGTAAAAAATCAGTATGTTTAAAAACATCTATAAAAAGACTGAATGAGATGGACAGCTACCACAGCTGTACAAAGGGTGCTACGTGTTCAACAGGCATTTGTTAGTCTGTCTGCAAAATGCACTTAATGTTGGTATGCCAAACACATCATCTGTTCCGTGAAGCCTGTTATACATGTATGTAGAAGGTATCCTGGAAACAAAACCTTGTTTGGTTACATCTACCCGGCTCCAGGGAATGGGTATAATGTGACTGCCACCTGATCTAGTACGGCGTTGTGGAACATGTAAGCCAAAGAGATTAGTGGTTACATTGTAAGTGTTATGAATAAATCTGTACAAGAATAAGCAATCGTTAACTGTTTTCCTATGGGTAAGAGTAGGTAGATGATATAAATCATATAATTATGAACAAGTAGTATCCCTCCTGTCATTAGAAAGAGCCTTATACATAAATCCCGTCTTTGTATTTTTTCAAGTTGATTGGATTATGATTGAGAAATCGAATTAAAAACGATTGTACTGTACTTCAGCTGTGGTCTACCAAGAGAACGGTTTGAAGGGCGTGTTCATCCTTACAATATCAAGATTTCTCCATGCTAATCCAATCATACAACAAGCTTTCTTCACTAGATGGCTTATATGCTCCACAAAATTCAGCTTCCTATCTGTATACACATACATCTTTCTGAACAAAAATATGGTTTAATACGTGATCTGCATTTGTGTAGTTGAACATGCATGGCTTCTTCTTCAATGTAATACTCATCACACAACATTTTTGCAGGTTCAGACTCAATTTCCAAGTTGTACACCATGAATACAGTTTCATTGAATCATCCTTTAGAAACAATCAGAATCATTAACCACTTCCTGCCAAGGGCATTTATAAATGTTGATTCTGCTGGGCCGGTGTATTTTTCATTTTTTTTCTGTTTTCAACATTCTTTAATCTTCATTTACTGGACACTTACTCCCACATGAAGGACTATCTGGTTTCTACTCTTATCTGACAGACAACATCTACTGATGCCTGAGTATTTCAGCCAGGCCTGCCACCTTGTAAAAAGAGCCCAGAATGTGCGGTGCTATGTAATTTTCTTTTGTTCCTGAAACTGGTACATTGCACTGCTGACCTCTTTTCAATAGGGGCCAGATTAGCGTGCAGTGGTACTGTATGGCTCATCGCTGCAGTGGTGGAGCACTTTTGTCCCCGTTGGTAATCCGCTTGCACTGAATGCCCCAAACAGTGGTATAATGTTCCAAAAAATGCCAGATTATCTCCGTTATTGACAGTGAAAAAATATTGGTAATTCCCAGCAGCCTGGTCTGTTGTTACGAGTACGGTCTTCAGCAACAAAGCCCAATTCCCTTTGTCTGATTTCATGCACCGCGGCTGTGCATATGAAGAATACGTGCCTGAAATTGGGCTCCCTGGCAGCAAGTGGTTAACCTGACAAAAAATCTTCACATCAGCAAAAAGTAACAATCTGCCTGTAAAACATGCTGGTAAATCATTTAACAATGTGAAAAGCAAGGGACCAAGTACTGAGCCCTGTGGCACACGTTGTGGCGCCAGATACCAGTTGGAAGAATCACCCTAAACAACTGTGTTTCCTACCAGTTAAATAACGATGTAATAAATTCAATAACGGTGAATGAATCTGGTATGAATCTAATTTATGAAGTAAAAGATGATAATCATCTCTATCAAAGCTTTGGAGAGGTCAGTATAAATAATGTCCAGCTATCCCCCCCCCCCGATCAACAGCAGAATAGGCTTCCTGTAATAATATGGAGAGATCTGTAGTACAATCTCTCCAAGGAACAAATCCTGGCTAATGTTCAGAAATGGCAGGCTGCACATGGGATACAACTTGTACACACAAGGTTCCTTCAAACACCTTTGAAATCAGTGGTAACAAAGAAACAGGTCTATATTAAATTCAACACATTCTGTTTCTTACCAGATTTGTGTATAGCAACAATATAACAAGTTTCCAGCACAATGGAAAATGTCCTTCACGCGGGGATCTTTCAAAAAGAAAATGGGTTAGAAAGCACCATAGCATGTCACTTAAAAAAGAGCCTGAAATGTTGTCAATATTATTGAGTTCACCCTCAACAGCAGTGCTCCTAATGATTACAGCCCAAGAAAATTAAACATACTGATTTAAATCAATGATTAAAAAAAATATTTGATTTAAATCGCAATTTAAATTGGTGATATAAATCAATAAACCCTGTCAAAGAAATCAGGAAAAATATGAGTTTCTCAGGCAATTGAGGCGCATATCAAATTAAAGCTTGTTTTATGATTTTTCATGTTATTTTCAAACTTATATTCAATGATTGATGACATTTGAAGATATTTTTTCCACAAGTCATCCCTAAAAGCAATCATGAAGCTCCTCGCCATTTTTAAAAATCAATGTCTACACTTCTCAAAAAAATACACCATTTTCAGGCACTGATGTCTTCCAAAGCTCACTTAGAAACAAGCTTGCATTTGGTTTGGTCGCCTAAACCTGTCTTCTACAAATCTTCAAGTTCATGGGCTACAAAATCCTAGACAGCTTGATACTTACCCCTGCCCAGCCTACATATGCAAATTTCCCATGTGCCTATTACAATTTGCTGAAAAGACTTCATTATGCATATTGCCCTTTGACCCTCCATAATGCATTGCAGTCCCTCTGCCATGTTCGTCCTTTTCGAAGCGGTGAAAACCACTGGAGCCAAAGTGGGGAAGGATGGGCAGGAGCGGCTGGGCAGGGGTAAGTATCACTAGGAGTCCCGACCCACTCCACATGCAGGAGGAGTCTCCTGCGTTCACATACCCCTGCCCAGCCTACATATGCAGAGTGGCACCAAACCCTGGAGGTGGATCGGCAACGGGAGTGTAGTTACTAAAAGAAACATAAACCGGGTGTTGCAAGAGTGAGCACTCACCAGGAGAAGCTCTTCAGTCAAAGTATCCACCACCCACCCCGGAACAGCACTGGACACTGTCCGGACCACCGAGTGCAGGGTCGCTCTGCCATGGGCTGTTTCGCTCTGCAGAACATATTTCAGATAACACTCGGTGAAGGTGGAGGGAGATTTCCAGCAAACCGCCTGGCGGATTTCAGCTAAAGGAACTCCTCTGAAGTACGACCAGGATGCAGAGGCGGCCCGAACGTTGTGGGCCCCGATGTGAATTCGAGTCTTCTCTTCATGTTTTGCCGGCCGGTCTCGATTACCAAAGTTAATGGTCGAGACCATCCAGCCCTTTGACACCGGATGTGACACCGGGTGAAAAGGGTTGCGTCATGGTGATGAAGAGCTAGGAATTAGGTTCTCGGCGATGCTTGGTCCTGGCAAGATACCACTTGAGAGTCCAAACCGAATACCATCTCTTGTCAGAGTCGTCTCCTAAAAGTAAGACTATCTCAGGAACGAATATGTCGGGAGGCCAGAAGGTAGGCGTCTGGATTTTCATCAGGAAACTGATGGTTGGGATAAGACGAACCCTGTGTGGCTCCCAGCGGATGTGACCATCGGCAATTGACAGGGCATGTAGCTGGCTACCTTGTCTCGATGTAACAACTATGAGGAGTGCCAACTTGATGCTGAGATGCAGGTTAGAAAAATCAAGGGGGGGACTGGCAAGAACTCAAGGAAAGCTTCCGAGGTCCCAGGACAAGACGAGGCATTTGATATGAGGATGCTTGACAAACATCCCTCGAAAAAGATCGGATAGCAGCATTGTCAGAGAGAGTCGAGCCATAGCTGAAGCCTGAGTGGACAGCCAAGCAAGGCCGACCAGTAGTTGCGGATGGCGGTAACCTGGAGGCCCGAGTGGAACAGATACATGAAGAAGTCTTCGACGGGACTCACAGGAGCTCTGATTGGAGAAACATCGTGGTGGTCGCACCCTCTGGTAAATTAAGTCAGCTGATGTAAATCTTGTGAGTGGACAGCCGTCGACCCCGGGCCGAAATAGACGCAGCATCTGCAGAAGAACCCAACGGCCTGAAGGATCGTTGGACAATATCCAGCGTGGCAAGTGAAGACTCTCCGGTGATGGTTGGAGGATCTCTTACTTGGGCTGACAGAGGATGTCCTCTCTGACCAGAAGGACCAGTAGTCATCATTCCAAGAGTCTCATCAGTCTTTGAAACCACAGTTGACGAGGCCAGAATGGGGCAATGAGGAAGATCCAACATAGCTCCGTTCTATCTTGAACAAGACCCAAGGGATGACGGAGATTGGAGGGAAGGTGTATGCCAGAGAGCCCAACCAGTCGAACTGTAGGGCATCTGTTGCCCTCGCTCACAGGTGAGAACCTGGAGCAGAACGTCGGAAGGTGGGCATTGTCAGAGGGAGCAAAGAGGTCAAATTGAGGACTCTCAATCTCCGTGAAAATCTGGCTGACAACATTCGGATAAAGAGTCCACTCTGTCGGTCGGACAGCACCCAAGAGAGTATGTTGGCTGTGCAGTTGCTGGTTTCCGCTATGTGGACAGCTTGAAGGCTGATCCCCTGATCGATCGTCCACATGAAGAGCTGCCATGCAAGGGCAAAGGAGTTGAGGAGGGCAAGTGCTACCCTGAATTTGAACCCCACAGAAGACGATTGGTGTTTACCCTTCTTATGTGCAGTGATCCGGCCGAAGAAAGTGAAGGAAGAACCTGAAAATCTGCGGCATCAGCAGCATGTCCAGAATGCAGGTCATGATCGGCTGAAGCCGGTTGAGCCGCCGGGGAGCTGTGATGGAAGCACCCTGGTCAGATACCCCTAGCCGGTAGCTAGAAGCCGTGGCGATGAGTGGCATTCGAAAACCATGGCGATGCAGCAGGCCAATGGTTTCTGTAGCCGGAAATGCGGTCGGTAAAGAGCCCGCATAGTTCCATGATGCCTCTGAATAGGCTGCCCCCAGGACAATGGGACATCAGCCCAAGGCATTGCAACGTCCAAGTCACATCTCAGTGAACCACTGTGGAGTTTGTGTGATGGCTGTAGTTCATGGTGCGTGGCAGCCTTTGTAGCTGGCCCGGGAGGCATGGGGCCATCCTGGTGTGTAGCCTGGTGAACCATACTAATGAATAGATGTCTTCCATGGTAGGCGCTGGTAGTAAGGTGACCGCCAAAGGACTTCAGAGCACGTGAACTGGGGGTGAATGACAGCCGCCCAGACCCAGCTAGTGAGAGATTAGGCTTACTCAATTCGAGTGCAGCGCCACTCTGCACTGTCGTTGACTGCGATGCAATATGGTGGTGACAGGGGTATCTAAGCTTTAGTCCAGTGCCTGAAGTGTAGCGTAGCTAACCTTCACTGAACAGGGACCAGTCCTGTCAGCACAACGTGAGGCTGTGCACCGTGCTGTGCTGTAGACTCGCCTGTGGTGGAAGGAGTGAAGTGCAGTGAATCCCCTATGGAGCCTGTTGCCTGCTTGGAAAGGGTAGACTGGCCCCATTTCCAAGCGGAAGAAGAACAGCGAGCAGAAGCTGGTGAGGTACTCGGCAGGTGGTGGGCCGTCGCCCCGCGTGCCCTGATGGGCCATCGGTACGCAGGGTCACTCAGGGATGTGGTTGGTAGCAACGCTCAGCATCTGCAGCATAAAGAAAGAGGAACAGCTCGCTATGCTTTGGTCAATTGTGATCAAAGGTAGTGTTGTGGCACAGCACGCTCAACCGGATCAGTAGGCACAGTGTACACGTATACAGAGTGGCTGTCAGAGATCAAGGGTAGTGTTGCGGTAGTTACACGTTCAACCCGATCAATCCAAGCAGTGGTCGTCAGTGATCTAGGGTAGTGTCGAGGCATAGCACATTCAACCCAATCATGTAGATAAAGGTCCGGGGTAGTGTTGCAGCATAGCATGTTCAACCCCGGCCTATTCACTCCACTGGGTCTCTCCCAGTCACGGCCGTTAATTTCGGATAATGCAAAATTGCAACACAAAGGAGCAGGGCAGCCCACCAAGCCCGCTCCACGGCCAGACCCATACAGCATTGGGCCGTTAGTATTCGAACACATGCACCACATTGAGGACAAAGGGTTGCCCATGAGCCCCATTCATTGGCCATACACAACACACTAAGACTATAGGTCACACCAAAACCTGTAGATAATGCACAGAAAAAAAGGGGCAGAAAAGAACAAAAATACGAAATACAAAAATAAGCACTCTTACCAATGGATAAGAAATCACTCTTTATTCATTAACAGGAATCAAGTCAAGTCAAAAACACGAAAGGTTACAGAACTCAAAACTCTGAATATGACATAAAGACATGTCCGTAAATGATAGGCCCTGAGAAAAGGACAACATGGCGGCGGGACCGCAGTGCACTGTGGAGGGTCATGGGGAAGTATGCATAATCAATTCTTTAGCGAACTGTAATAGGCACATGGGAAATTTGCATATGTAGGCTGGGCAGGGGTATGTGAATGCAGGAGACTGCTTTGTTTTAGGACTGAATCAATTCAAATAATTTACTATTCGAATATTCGATCTTCAATCTGATCGAATATCTGAATATTCGGTCGCACCGACTGGCAGGTTGTTGAAGAACAAAATATACACAAAATCAGTAGCAACAACACACACAATTGTACATTTTTATCAATATATCTTCTCACATCTGGGAGTATCTCCAGTCACGATTTAGCAAGATTTAAGCGATGAACAAGACTTCTGCCCTGTTGAAAATTTCCATTCCTTTTAAATTATTTATTGAATAATATACTGTTTAAATCATAAGATTTCTGACACTTTACATTTGAATCTGCTTGAAAAACAAGCCTCCAGAGTGCAATTTTTCTCTTTTGAAGCAAAGATAATTTTCCCTTCCTTTTCATGAATTCTGCATTCAAATATTCAAATTTGAAAAATAATATTTGAATATTCGACAATTGAGCGAAAATTCAGTTATTCGGATATTCAGCACAGCCCTACTTTATTTTGTACAGAATTTGATTGGATACAAATTGTGATTTGACCAGTGCAAGCAGTTTCAAGCATATTTACTGGCCTGCAACCCTAGGGAACATAGTTCTGTGCATAGGCTTTTCTGTTCTGAGAGGCGTTTTTAATATTTATGTAAATTTTATATACCGTAACTGAAAACAAAGGTGCAGGGGACTCTGTACTGTTGGCAAACAGTGAACATTGTTCAGTACCGGATTGTAGCAAGCACAAACGAAAATCGTCGCCAGAAATTAGCTTTCATTGATTTCCAAAGAACAAGATCCTGTGGTAAAAGTGGATTGTTAAGATAAAACAAGACAACGGGGACACTATTCAAGGTAGATATTGACTTTGAAATAGCTTCTTTGGGCACTTACAAAGATGTTCATATGAAAACTCCTAATCACTGGCCCAACACCGTACACGTTATTGCACGTCGGTGCAGTTTGATTGATCCTGTCTTTTCCTTCCTCCTTGATTGATCGTGCCCAGTATAATGAAAAAATGTCTGTTATTTTTGAAGCAGCATCTATAGAATTCTGAACTTTGAAAGGAAATAACCCAGTTATTAAAGGTAACCTGTTGAATGACAGATTTTCAAACTGCTCGATTGTGGTGACAACCGGCCCGACACAAACGATGCATGCATGCAAGGTCAACAAAAAGTCCCAGATAAAATCCCGTTAATAAACTGCTTACCCTTCAGATTATGAATGTAGGCTTCTGAAAAACACTTGAAGCCTTTATCAAGCTGTTGCTCTCCACTGCCTTTGGAGCCCTTTTTGACGTTATTTTCACAAACCCAAAGATTATGTTGAACCAATGAAAGGTCCCTTCCATTCACAGCCATCATGACACGTACTGTAAGTCCCCTACAGCCCCGTTTTAAGTTGCCATGAATAAAATTTGCTTAAATATTAACCCTAACCCCTTAGGGTGTATGTAAAATCATATTGAAAGCGCAGGATATGAGACTGTTAGGGTTAAGAAAGGCCCATTGTGAACCCAAAATTAACTTACTGAAAACATTTCTTGGAAAGGGATTGGATGTTTGCTAACTGCTATAAACATAAACAGTTCTGAATCAGCAAAGTAGAGAAAACTGAGTCCAGCAAAATCTATGAAAATGAAGTTGGTTTTGGGTACAAACCAATGTAACATGGATGCCTCTTCCTGGGATGACACCACAGTTTTGCTCATGAATAAAGAAATACCATTAGCACAAAAACCAAAAAGGCAGAAAAATAACTTTTGAAATAGTGAAACAAAAGTTGAAAATAAGGTTAACTTAGACAAAAAGATGCATTTTGAAGGTTTGTATTAAAACAAATTGAATGCAACTACCCTTTAACCCTAACAGTCCTCAATCCTCCAATTTCAATATGATTTTACATACACCCAAGGGAGTTAGGGTTAATCTGTCAAGTACTTACTTTGGGAAAGCTCCATTTTGTGATAACGAAAGTGGTAGGGAAAACTATGCAAATGAGGCTTGTTATCATGAATACGTTCTTCACCTGAGCCAATAACAATGCTTCAGTTCTTACAATGGCCCACTTGGACATAAAAATGTTTATCAAGATGGCCACCAAAGACCTAAATACGGCCAAATTAGAGAGCCTTCAGTAAAATTTCTTTGAGAATGTCAAGAAGATAGTTCTCCCTAGAAAATACCTTTATTCAATGTGAATGAATTTGTTCAACTAAACATTTTGTTGGAGAGGACAATTTCAGTGAAATTAAACACTCTGTAGCAAAGTAAGATGTATTTCACTTCACTCCTTTGTGTACGCAAAATCTATTACTATGGTATAACAAAACAATTGCAGCCTACTGTGTAGAAGTCAATGGATTTGTTTGTACACCCTGAGGGACAAATGGCATCCGAAGCAAATTGTATAATGTTCATGTACATGTGCAGATTCATGTACCATGTACATTGTACTGTACACTGTTTTTAAAAGGTATTTTGCATTTACACATGTACATGTAGTTGTAATTTTACCTACCTGATACACATTCGGCATATTTGGAACTTTGTTGATCATCATAATGTCCATATACTGACGATTCAATGTAGAAACCATTTGTTCCATTGTCCTTCAAAACACATGAAACAGAAATACATGCATAAGAAACTTAAAGTGCAACCAAAAAAGGCTTCAGCTATTTTGAAATCTACGTTTTGGAGCTGGATTGGCCACCTAAAAACCAATATACAATGAATTTATCTGTCAAAAATTAACGAGAGAAATACATGTAAGCAGGAAGTTCTTTCCACAACCAAATGGGCTGATTTTGTAAACACGTTGGGTCAAAGTTTTGCATTTGTGTTGGGTTGATGATGTAACAGGGAGAAAAGCTCAACAAGCATTGCATGAAGCATATATGAAGATGCATGTAAACTGGCATTGATGTAGCCCAAATGCATTAAAACGAGGAGTTTTGATGATGTGCAGAAAAAATTGGTCAACATAATTGCAAGATTTGTTCCGAAATGAAGGAGTATGAGATATTAAAGGTGAAGCAGAACTTAATTTTTGTGGGATAAATGTAAAATGTGAGAGTGCACTCGTGTTCACATGCTGTGGCAACAGACTATTCATACCCCATGGAGAGTAACACAGTCAGCGTACGAGTACCCTGACCTGAATCTTGGACTGAATTGCAGGATACCTTGGACATGTGTACATGTGAAGCTTCTAGAAAAAAGACAGTATCCCTGCCTGCGTGCTTGTTTGCCGAGTCTACAGTTTTCAATGTGTTGAAGAAAAACAGATAAACCTATATCAGATTCTTCTAGTGAAGTTAGTGGATTCAGTTCCTATGACAGTAACTATAATTTACGGATGACGGCACGGAACCTGTCAGTGTTGCCGGGCTGCGATTTGTGCTGGTGCTGTAGCCATCCCAAACCTGGTGGTGGTCCAGCAGCACAGCACCGTACACCAGCAGCTGCAACACAAGTAGCTTCTAAATTCAAAGTGCTTCTGCAGAGGCTGGATATATCTCTCAGACCTCCAAAAATCCTTGGCATATCAATTATCTTCGACAACCAGGAAAGATTAAAATCTACCCTTATTGTTTTTCTGGGAACAATTGACTCAACAATTCACTATTGCATGGAAGCCTTGAGACCAACTCTCAGTGCACAAGATTCCTGTCTGAGAAACTACAAACTGCATAAGACCAGGATCGTTTTTTTAAAGACAAAAACACAACAAATCATGCACTGAACATATTGACTGCCTTGTAGTCACAGGTGTACTGGATTCTGCCACTACGAGTATACTCGTAGGAAATGAAAGGTTATTGGTCTATAAACTTAATACATTGGCATCACCGAAGAGCACAACAAATACACTGCTGGCAGTGTAGAGGGCGTACATCATTAAATGCTCATGTTCAAATACACATCTGAAAAGCACCTGTTAAATATGTTTGCATGTGTTCAACGCTTGACAAATGGGAATGACCCTTTGAAATCATGTGCTACAGTCAATGTGTTAAACTTGATGGATGGAACAGTGAAGTGACAAGAACCACACAAGAACATTGCATTTTGAGCAAACTTCAACTACGAGATTTGCGTGCAAAGACACACCCTGTTTACAGCTCTATCTCCACATGACATTTTGGGGTCACTGCCATATCATTAATACATAATGAGTGTTTCTAAAATCGGCAAAAAAGGGACTCACAGAAGTCCTTTTACATTTTAATTTAATTTATTGTTCACACTAAAAAGCAAAGAAATTCAATTTCCACTGGCATTTCTAAAAAGGGCTACATATAAACCATTAAAATTAAACCATGACACAGTACAATTACAGGACCAAAGTATGGGAGTATTAAACAGAACTGTAAAAAACAGTAAAGAAACAATGTCTAGCAGCATGGATAATTACCTATTCAAAGACCAATTAAACAAGCGGATTGCATTTGAAACAAGAGTTTGGACTTTTTTTTACCATAAATGGGAAAACTTTTCCATTCTTTTAATGGTAAGTTTGAAAGATGGCCTTGCCACCTGTTGTATAAAGGTTACTATTGGGGAAAGAAGGATTTCCTTTCAATACCTCTTTCGGCCCTTTGATGCTGAAAAAGCTGCCCATTAGAGTGCTTGTGTACATGTAAATAACTCTACATGTATATGAATGCATTTTTAAAACCTAAATACCCCCCCCAATGTCCATTAAACTACAGGTTCTGTGTCTCTGACAAAGACAGAACACAGGGCTCCTTGACCTTTTTTTTGTTCTAAAGAAAAGTGCCTTGTTGGCATGTAAATTTCTTTAAAACATTCGTATTCACACACACACATATACAGGTTTTAAACAAATAACGGTACCTTAAATGTACCTTAAATTTCACATGACCCGTGATTATGTCATCCTCGCATGTGGACAACATTCGTCTAAAGCACTCCTCTTTCAAGATATCTACAAGGTTTGAACCCAATCGCACATGTGTTTTACGAGATACAGTGGTTTGAAGAGTGCACCTTTAATGTCCCATGACATAATCATCTGATGACATTGTCATGACATGAGGTCAATCTCCGCTTATAAACCTTCCGTTACTAACTATCTGCAAGGTTTTAACCCAATCAGACTTAAACAATACAATTGTTTAATTTTCAAACTCCTGAGTATATGCCCTATGGTGCGGTGCCTGTGTTACAGGCAGATATTACACATCCACACACAGGTAAAATGTCATTAATTTGTAACACATCTAGAGAGTAAATATCCCTTGTCAAGGTAAAATTGCAGTAAATTCGCGGAAATGCCCCTTACACCTGTAAAAGACAAAATTTCGAACGATCTTTTCACTAGAATTATTGTGGATCGCACACGAACGAGTGCCCTCTTTTGACATGAATAGGCCGCGCAATTCAGCAACATGTGCCCGTACATTTTTCTCTCCAATCCCGTTTGTACGATGTCATCCCATTGAATATCGAAATGCTGAAGCCAGTTACATTTTTGACAAAGTCAAATCTCTTTAGTTGTGCTTTATTCACTCATCTGCGATGAAATAAGGATACCTTACCACTGGCTGCATGGAATGTAAGATGCATTGTTGAGGAAATGTCTTGCCCAAAAAAATTACAAATGAACAAAGTTTCATTTTTTGGTAAACCTGACCAAAATGGAGCACAGTATTTGAACAGAGAGAAAAGGGTATAAACACTTTTTCTCAGGGGAAGCCAGATACACCGGTACTTTCATCTTGGACTGATTTTTGTCCTGTCAAAAAAAAAAGAACAAAGAAAAGGTCACTGAGCTGTCATTGTGATGTAGAGCAGGCTTTATCGTAACTCAGTAGAGCTTTATTTCCCAGAATTTTTCCCACCTGAAACCAACCCACAGGTAGCCATCTGACTCCTTATAATAACTCCTCAATTTGCAAAGCTACATATTTCACATTTTGTCTTCAATGGCCAGGAAGTTGGAACTCTTTAACGATGAGATCTGGAATAAATACCTAAAGACAGGACAGATCAGGCACAAAAGGCCAGACTATAACCGTAGCTGGAGAAATTATAGCAGACAATGGCCTAAAGGGAAAGTTCACAGAACTGTACATTTCCAAGCAACTGAAAGCACTGAGGGAGAAATGTATGAAATTGAATAAATCACTGCCCCCTTTGCATTCAAGAAATTTTCTTTGATGAATTATTTCTAATTTTTGAGAAAGAGCCATCTCCAAAACAAATGACACATCATCAATTACTGTTGTGGAGGCTTGTCCAAAAAGGCTGACGCTAATGTTTGCACTCACTGAAGAGTTAATCCCCTAGATGAACCTGGCAAACGGATGCGATTTTAGATGAGTTGCGAGTAGAAGCCGTGGAAAATGAAGTATCCAAAACTCAGTTACTTTGATTTATATGACATAAAGAGAAAAAACTGTTGATGTTGGCATTAGGCTATTTACAGATGATTTCCGCAATGGAAATAAGTTAATTTAACTGTTCTGCGTTATCCCTACTATTTCCACTTTTGGGAATCTTGGAGTTTGCTTTCCTTCAATTTATTGTTTGTGATAATAATCTGTGGAATAGTAAATAAATCAAATCACACTATTTAATTTCTTCCTTCGATAAAGCAAAAGGAATCCCAGCAGGTATTCCATTCATTTCATGAAGACCTTATTAGAAAACTGTAAACTCAACAATTTAATTCAGAATTTGACTGGCTTTTAAATTGGGGTATGAAATCAACATACATAAAATAAAAAAGCACCGATAAAAAAATGCTTGTTCAAATCACTGAACCCTTCGTTTAATGTTTATTTAATCCCAAATCAACAACAAAAAATTGTTTTTATACCACAACGGTACAGAACAAACAGTGCAAACATTTTTGCAAACACAGCTGAAGTGGGCGCTATGCATAAGTAGCGCCCTCTTTCAGACTCTGCTCCCGTTTTTGACCATTTTGGTGAATTCTTCGGCTTAGATCTTTTCAACCTAGTTTTCTGTATTTGGAGATGATGTTCAAACATGTTTGAAATAGTTTTGGGAATTTGGACCCTTTATTGTCCCGATATCTACTGATGTCATGGTTAAATATGGTTTTAAACCATTGTGGACGGGCTACCTTGCCTCACCGCAAAAGATTTTTAGTGGCTTAATTATTCATTTCAAAGTTTATTAAATGTCAACCAAATTTACCAAAATGAGTAAAATACAATTAAATTAGTTAATCCCTGTTTTACACAGACGAGACAGGTCGGCCAATTCCAAATGTATAGATCAATGCAAGTAGGCTTTAACAGATCAAACCCCAGCCCTAATGTGGTGACATCTTCCCCCTGAAACAGTCCTGTAAAAGAAAAGAAATATCCTAGCCACATGCACAAGAACATACATGTACATGAAATCTACAGCAAAGAGGATACACAACAAACAGATAAATGGGAATATCCCTCGCCTCTAGATGTTCCCTGGTCTGTCCCAGTCTGACAAGCTCTATGGAAATTTCCCACGTCCTTGCCTTCATATGGCTTGCCAGATTGTCACACAATGAAAATAATGACATAATGTGCACAGTCCCTAGAATCTATGCAACAAAAAATGACAATTTCGCTTA